CACTCCTTCGGTACTGTTTCCGACTTCCACGCAACGTTGATGCAACGTGTCAACCATGACAGTCCCTCAACACCCAGAGCCTTCAGCATTTCCGGGCGGATCTCATCCACCCCCGGGGCTTTGCCACTGTGGAGTTGTTTGACGACCTCAGTGACCTCCCCCCGGGAGATTGGTGTTGATCCCCCGTCATACTCCAGCTCTGCCTCTAACATAGAGGGCGGAGTTGTCGGGTTCAGGAGTTCCTCAAAGTGTTCCTTCCAACGCCCTAACATTCCATCAGTTGAGGTCAACAACGTCCCATCCTTACTGTACACAGCTTGGATGGTTCCCTGCTTCCCCCTCCTGAGGTGTCGGACAGTTTTCCAGAACAACTTTGGTGCCGCCCGAAAGTCCTTCTCCATGTCTTCTCCGAACTTCTCCCACACCCGCTGCTTTGCCTCGGCCACGGATGAGGCTGCTGCCCTTCGGGCCTGTCGGTACCTTGCAACTGCCTCGGGAGTCCCCCGGGATAACAAATCCCTGAAGGCCTCCTTCTTCAGTCGGACGGCTTCCCTGACCACCGGTGTCCACCAGGAGGTTCGAGGGTTACCGCCCCTTGAGGCACCTAGGACCTTGAGACCACAGCTCCCCGCCGCGGCTTCAGCAATAGAGGCTTTGAACACCGACCACTCTGGTTCAATGTCCCCAACCTCCACAGGAATGCCCGAAAAGCGCCGCCGGAGGTGTGAGTTGAAGGCCTCCTTAACTTGGGCCTCCTCCAGACGTTCCCAGTTTAGCCGAACTACACGTTTGGGATTACCAGGTCTATCCAGAGGCTTCCCCCGCCACTCGACCCAACTCACCACCAGATGGTGATCAGTTGACAACTCCGCTCCTCTCTTTACCCGAGTGTCCAAAACATACGGCCTCAGGTCCGATGATACGATAACTAAATCGATCATGGACCTTCTGCCTAGGGTGCTCTGGTACCACGTACACTTATGAGCATCCTTATGTTCGAACATGGTATTTGTTATGGCCAATCCATGACTAGCACAGAAGTCCAGTAACAAACCACCACTCCGGTTCAGATCAGGGGGGCCGTTCCTCCCAATCACGCCCCTCCAAGTGTCTCCATCATTGCCCACATGTGCGTTGAAGTCTCCCAGCAAGATTAAAGAGTCCCCTTCAGGAGCCCCATACAGGACTCTTTCCAGGGTCTCCAAGAAGGCCGTATACTCTGAACTGCTGTTGGGTGCATAAGCACACACAACAGTCAGAGTTTTCCCCCCCATAACCCGCAGGCGTAGGGAGGCGACCCTCTCGTCCACTGGGGTAAACTCCAACAACGAAGCACCTAACCGGGGACTTGTGAGTATCCCCACACCCGCCCGGCGCCTCACACCTTGAGCAACTCTGGAGAAGAATAGAGTCCAACCCCTATCCAGAAGTAAGGTTCCAGAGCCGACGCTGTGCGTAGAGGTGAGCCCAACCAGATCCAACTGGTAACGCTCCACCTCCCGCACAAGCTCCGGCTCCTTCCCTCCCAGAGAGGTGACGTTCCACGTCCCCAAAGCCAGCTTCTGTCACCCGGGTCTGGTCCGTCGAGACTCTCCGCTTTCACTGCCACCCTTCTGGCAGCGCACCCGACCCCATCGCTGTTTCCCGTAGGTGGTGGGCCCGCGGGACGGAGAAGCGGAGGTGTTGCCCACGTTGCCTTTACGGGCTGGGCCCGGCCGGGCTCCGTGGCAAGCCCGGCCACCAGACGCTCGCCGACGAGTCCTCCTTCTGGGCCTGGCTCCAGAAGGGGACCCCGGGCTTCCTCCGGGCCGGGTATCCTCACTTCTTGTGTCGTCTTTCATGAGGTCTTTTGAACCAATCTTAGTCTGGCCCCTTGCCTGAGACCAATTTGCCATGGGAGACCCTACCAGGAACACAAGGTTCCAGACAACACAGCCCCCAGGTTCATCAGGGCACACAAACCTCTCTACCACGGTAAGGTGCTGGTTCTTCAGAGAGGCAGATATATATGTATAATGTTATTAATATACCTCATTCTCATCTTTGGTATTCTGTCTGGGAATGTTATAACAACATTCTGCAATTCAATTCCAACAGGCTGATAACAATATTCCTTAGACTCAATGTATTTAAAAGTGACCACTTCCCGACCATGAAAGGATTCATTAGCAGAAGTCAGCACTTCTCCACTTTGTCGTGTAGCTAAAGCTTTGAAATATGCAAAGGGTGAAAAGTTTGGAAGCCGCCCCCGCCGACCAGTCCACATCAAGTGTTGCAGAACCACTGTGCTGTTCTATCTGGGTTCTTGTTTTGTCTAAACAAAAGATCGCAATGCAATTAAAACCTCTGTTTTGGTGGCTCAGAGTGAAATGAAAGTTAACAATGTTTTTATACGACAGCTTTTTCTCATCATAAAGTTTTGAGTCACGACTAATTGCTTGTTTAGTGCTCCAGTGCTCCAGGGTTCTGGTGCCTGCCACTGTGTGTGTGTGTGTGTGTGTGTGTGTGTGTGTGTGTGTGTGTGTGTGTGTGTGTGTGTGTGTGTGTGTGTGTGTGTGTGTGTGTGTGTGTGTGTGTGTGTGTGTGTGTGTGTGTGTGTGTGTGTGTGTGTGTGTGTGTGTGTGTGTGTGTGTGTGTGTGTGAAAGAGATTTTTACAATCTAAACATGTTTCTGTTCCAGCTCATTGTTTCTTAAACAGGCATGCTTCATGTCTACATGTGAGTGTCTTTTACACTCTGATGACTGAATGCCTGCAAGGATTACGAGTTAATTCCAACAACACTCTTAAGACAGTTAATTTCCTTTCGCTTGATAATAATAATAATAATAATAATAATAATGACAATACAAGATACACTGCACTTTAATTTTAAAGTGCTTTCTGATCTTCTCTAGATGAGTTTGGAAAGAGCCTTGATTTTGTTGGAAGGTATCAGCAGTTTAAAATGTGGCTAGTAAAAGTTTAGATGCTGCTATCTTTGAAATTAAAAACAGCATATGAAGTTTATGTTCCAGCTAAAGAAATTGGCATTTAATTGAAGAGCAATGGATATAACAGAGAAATCACCCAATGTATTGGGAATCTGTTAAACACTGAACATGCAGACAGGGACATGTTGTTTGTAAAAACATGCATTAGTGTTGACTCACTGCAGGAACACAGTGTGATTAGTCAGCAGGGTGAAATAAGTCTCTGAGCCACTGAGCTGTTTGATTGTGGATGTGATCACGTAGCAAAGGAAACATATGCACTCAGAGACCCCGCCGCTCTGCTGTAGAGAGCCCAACAGGAAGGACTCCCTCTGAGCCAGGCTGTTTATGACCCAACTTCCTTTTGGTATTGGATGGATGTAGAATTCCTGCCATAGCTTTGTTTGATGTTTTATTTTTGACATTTGATAAATACAGAGGGAGGATATGTGCGCATTCTAAAATCTGTGAACATAAGCTCAGCCAAAGTCTTGAGTCTTAAAGGATGGGATTACGATTTTCAATTCTATTGTAAAATAATAGTCATGGTATATGAACATTGAAACCACAGCATGCAATGGAGGACAACATATTTTCCAACATGTATCAAACATGTTACAGTCATATGGTTTGTGTTAAGAGCAATTGATAAATAAATACATGTCCTGAGATATACTAGTAGATCACATATAAACACACACATATAAGCTTATTATTCATATGAACCTTTATTGATCCCCCTAGAAGGAAATTCAGTTTTCAACTCTGTTTATACATGTATTAATATACACACAGTACAAATACACACAGGTATAGATGCCTACAATTTTCATTGTCATAACTACACTGCTATGCACACATGACAATAAAAGCCTTGAAACTTGAAACACATGCAAATGCATTTAGAGAGGTGCCAGAGCTAAGGGGCTGTCCGTCACCAGAGAGCAGTTGAGGATTCTGTGCCTTGCTCATGGCACCTCGGCAGGGCCCAGGAGGTGAACTGGCACCACTCCAGCTACCAGTTCACACTCCGATCAGGACATGAACTGGCGAGCCTTCATTTCCAAGGCCAGGACCCTGCAGACTGAGCCAGTGTGCAGGAACTCAGACCTCAGCGGTATTCATATAACATTCATGTGATTTGACATCAGTGAACACTGTATACACACAAAACTAAATAATCAGAAGTTGACTCTTCCTTTACGGAAGGAACTTGTTACAAAATATTGACCTGACCTTACACACTGTTTCTGTGACGTTCACTATCTTATTTATGGCCAGACATATTCTGAAGGCAAGCAAGCTCTTGTAATTTCAGTTTTGGGAGAACTCAGTCTCTCACAGTCAGCAGCTCACTGTAGCATTACATGAGCCATGTAAATGCTTCCAGAGCATTGAGGGATTAGAAAGCGCTGCCATGTTCCTTCTAAATGACCTGCAGCCCAAGCACGCCTTACTGTCCTCCCTATAATTACCTCCCACAGCCACACACAACACAGTAAGACACATTTACTGCCCTCCTGTTTGTACACAGACTGTGTGATGCAGTTTAATCAATGAGTGTGACATTGCTCATTGTCAGACTAGTGGCTCAACAGAATTTGCTGACATTTTCAAAAACGTCCTTTTGTTTTTCAGCGATCCTGGTAGAATGTAATGTCAATTCACTCATGTTGTTTGTCAGAACTTGCACTTGTGTTTCTGAAAATGTTTAAATAAAGTTGAGGATGACTGTGACACATGAAGAGGAGTTTATTTACTCTGTATCTCACAGCCGCCTCTCTGTGTATTCAGCTGAGTGTGTCTGCACTGAGACTTTCCATAGGCCTCCCAACATTCCAGAGTGAGAGGAGATCCGAGCACAACACAGCAGGTGTATATTTCATGTCACACATAATTGTATGCATTATATACCACAGTCATGTTAGAGCTGTCTTTTTATGTACAGCCATCCTATCATTCTAGAAATGAATTGGGATTAAAGCCCAGAATGTATCTTCTCTTTAACCTCCCAGTATTTTCTTTTCAGACGTTGTACTTCAGCTGGTGGCTTGAGGGATCCAGACCAAACTCAGAGCACATTCCTCACAGCTGCTCCTGCTGTGGGATCATGTTGTAGACCTCTGCTGCTTTTGAGATGTATCCTTCAGACAAGCCTTTTCCAGCCCATGATACTACTCTTTCATTCTGCATCGTGTAGAGAGGTTAATGTAATAATTGCATATCATGTCATTTTTAAATGTAAGAACTCACAATATAATACTTGATTCTGACTAAATGAAGCAATAACTTATTTAGCATAAAATGTAACTTGATTATTGGCTGTTACATTGATGTATAACTTTGGTGCCATCTTTGTATATGAAATGCTAATAAAGGATCTCACGAATTATTTGAGATTCAGACATTTTTTTAAAGCATTTAAACATGTACGCTAAATAAAGAACAATAACAACTAGAGAATGCAATTCCTGAAGAAATTGCTAGTGGGAATGCTTTATGCTGAAAAGCTGACGCTAAACTGCTATGCTGAAATGTAATGTGTAAGAAGAAAGTGAATCATTTAGATTCAAATTAAATGTGTAAGAAGAAAGTGAAGAATTTAGATTGAAATGATACATGAACACTGGGGGCTTGAATGTGTGATGAGTAGGGTTGGGTATCGTTTGAATTTCCACGATTCTGATTCCGATTCCGATTCTACTTTTCGATTCCGGTTCTTAACGGTTCTCAATTCCGATTCTTTGAGGGGCAGGGTAAAAAAATGATACATGCTTCTTCCACCAAAAACATTACATTTATTCGAGAAACTTTTACACAGGTTAGTTTACAGTAATATTCACATGAATCAGTCTGTTTATATTCACTGCTATGTAATTGTAACCTGAGAACCACTGAAGCTACAACAGTCCAACTTTTAAAGGAAACCCCCCCCCATTTAAAAACAGTTCTTGTTGAGAAAAACAAGCATATCTGCCTTCTCAGGCAAACCGGGAAGAAATGTTTGAACATTTTAAAGTAAAATGCTTCAATCTGGTGCACTTTAAGCAGAATGACTATAGAGTAGATCTAGGGGGTACAACTCTAAACACCCATATGAAAAAGATCGGTTTACATTTTAATAATTAAATAAGTATGTGAACATAACCAATAACCTACCATAGCCAATAACAAATACATGTAACGTATTTTATTTGTGTTGTTCATTCATATCTTATTTTACTATTTTATTTATGCATATTCTTTTATCTCTAGTTTAAAACGATATGTCTGGTTTACTGTCCTATAGTATACATTGGAATGATTTCAAACCTGTTTTATCCCAATAATTATAAAGGAGTGCCTTGGAAATATGTGTTTACATAAATTGTGATCAAAACGTTTGAGACCCACTGAGATAACTTAGACTAAAGTGAACTATCTAAACACTCAAGAGTCCTTTACCTCACTGAGCTGTAGTTATCAGCCTCTCAGTCTGACTGTAGAGGACTCTCCCTCCACATCATTGTAGACACATCTTCTTCTTCTGTTAGAGCAGCTCGCAGCAGATGCTAATAACAACAGCGCTGGTACCGGTGCACCCTCCTTTTCTCCCTCGCTCGCTCCCACGCTCACTCGCACTTTGGCTGTGAGCTGCGGGTGCCAGATAAGCCAACATCCCCCATTTTCATCACTGACAGCGCCCATCGTACAGGGCAAATGGAAAGTGTAACCGGGATGAAAAGGGTGTTACATTTACTTAATTATGAATGTTGTTACATCAAGGCCGAACATTAGGATGAGCCCCAACGGTCAAAACATTTTTTTTTCCTCCCAGAGCTGTCAGCGCAGCGCCTCCACAGATCTGGCACCCTAGGCGAACATCTATAACGCCAGTGCGACGGGCCGGCCCTGGTCCCAGGTTACGCTGTAGGAAGTGTAGATACAACCAGAGCCCTGGGTACAACGCTACATTTCCCGCCCCTTCACAGTCATACAGTAGGCTACGGAGAGCGGCGAGAAACATTTCCTCAGGCATCGAAAAGCGGAACCGAAATTCACATTTCTAAATGATGCCATCGGTTCTCGGTACCCAACCCTAGCGATGAGAGAAGAAAAGAAAGTAAAAAGGCTTGGAAAAGCAGCAGAATATTTGAACCGCAAACTTCTGAACTAAGTTGATGGCGAATGATCTGTCGCCATGGCAACGGCATTTGATGACACCCCATACTACGCTTAGATGCGTTGAAGGCTGCATCGTTACCAAACCTGTGAAGTCTTGGGCTGTTTGGAGTATTTTCACTGAAGTTATGAGAAAACCGTGTTTCAAGGCGAGCAATGTGTTGCCATGGCAACGGCATTTGAAGAACTCTCCAAACTGTCCCGTAGATGTCTTCACAGCTGGACTGTTAGCACACTGCTATCTGAAGTCTGCTGCTCTGAGCATGTCAGCTGGAGCGATGACATCATCGTGTTCCATTACACAGGTGTTTATAGTTGAGCTAACGAGCTCTGTAGAGATCACAGGTTTCCATTGTTCTGAATGAGAGATGAACCTCTTACATGTGAACGTTTTGTGGAAGAACCGTAACAGATATCTGTGAAATTTCAAAACGTGAATTTTTGTGTACTTTCGGGTTAATAATGTGGCCTTTTTGGCAGTTTAACTAAAGGTGTGCGGCTGCTGCCGTGAGGAAATATCTGGCTGAAATTACAATGGGCTTTAAAACCTGTTAAACCCCGAGCCTGTTTTTCAGGTCTCAGGCTCGAAAAGGACATTCCCAGAACAAATGACCATATCTTCCCTTCTAAAAGGGTTAAATTAATAATATTTTTTCTCAAAGTAATGATAAACCTGTGTGTTGGATGTAGAAAAGTCAGAATAAATATAGATGTTTTTTATTTTAAAGAAAATTCAGATTGAACATAGTAAAAAACTATAAATTATAGTGTCCGTCCAAAACATATGTTGTACTTATAGTGAAAACTAACCTTGGATGATGGGTTAGTAGACTACAAGCTTTAGGAATCCAAAGTACAACAAATAATAAGTACCCTATATCAAGATTGATGCAAAACAAGTGAAATGTTCCATATCTCTGGCCCCCCTTGCTGGATTTTGACATGTGACATCTCTTTCTAACCATCAGAGCCAATGGAATCGAGGGGAACTCACACATAGTCCTTATTTGGTAATGTGTGTGTTAGACTGCTGCATAGCCTAGACCGGAAGCAGCAGCCACTCTGGTAGCTACCATTAGCAACTAACTTTTGCTCTACGATTTTTACATACAAATTGAATTATTGATTATAAATTAAATCATTTTTTTATACAGAGACGTTAAAAACCTATGGATTAACCGATTCAGCCGCGTTTTTTCTGGTTTTAATGCCATTGAACACGTATTTTGATCAGATTGACAGCTACGGTGAGACGATCTCCCTAGAAGCTCCGTAAAGGTACGTGTTGTGGTGTCTGTGTTTGCTTCCCCTGTAAAGAGTTCGGATCACTCAGTGATGATACTATATACTTAAATAATCTGTGGAACCTCAGCTTTAATTGGATATCTTGTATGTGCAGCTATGATAAGTAATAAGGGTATATTTTATCTTGAGTTCTGTGCCAATGTCCGTTAGCATTTTTCACTAAGGGGTCATTTAGATGCTTCTTATGAGACTTGTGTTTTGTATCGTCAGTTAGCTGAGATTATTCCCGTTAATCTGGTATAACACATTATTAGGTTCTTAAATATTAAGATCCCCTGAGACACAGTGTCGTGAAAAAAAACGCCATTTAACGGTTTAACAGGTTTTAATGGAGGAATGTTGAAAGTTTTTGTCACTTCATGCCCTCAACAGGCATTTTGTTTAATCATTTTTGCTTAATTATTTGTCCTTTTTCAAGCTATGAGATGTTTTCCTACGTTTGTCATGAAAAATTATGTCTCAGGAATGTAGGGTTTGGGAATTATGGCAGTTTTAAAAGAAAATATGAAGGCAAATTTCAAGATTTCTTACCCTCTAGCTGTGACATCACGCACTCTAGTTAATGTTAAAATGTGAAGAAAACCTCGAAAACAAGGTCTGAACAATGTTTAATATCTCTAAAAGTACGAATCAGATTTAAAAGTTGTTTTACACGAATAATGTCAGAAAGATGTGTAACATTTTAAAGTTGGAATGAGGTTTCTGAGTGAAAGTATGAATGAACAGTTAGCAGTTGAAGTCGCATGAAGATTTGTTGAAGTCTGAAGATTTTCTCCATTGACTTCGATGTTAAAAATGTGATGTATTATGGGATGTATCTCTGGAATTATGAAAGTTATGAATGAGAAAAGTAATAGCCTGCGATTCCCAACTGAGCTGAACGTTTTGATGTTTGAACGGAGTTTCTGCGATGTTCAATGCGGGAGGAGAAGCGGGCCAAAATACCAGCGGAATAATAATAATAATACACTTTTCGTCCGTAGAAGAACAGTTAGTGGGAATGCTGTAATGTAAACAGCATTCCCACTAAATAATGCATTTTAATAAGCGCACTTTTAAGAAGAATGTGCTTTTAAATACAATTGTAGAAACAAAATAAAACATAAACTATCAGAATAAAAAACATAAGGCAGTCATGGCAACTAATGCGTGGTTAAAGTTCTAGTAAAAAGCGTTGCTAAAAATATGGGTTTTTAGGCCTTTTAAAAGCATCCACAGTGTGTGGTATCCTTTGCTCATTCTGCAGTCTCAGAGCAGAAGGCTCAGTCTCACATGGTTTTCAGTTTGGTCCTGGGGGGATGGAGGAGGTGACTCTTTCCAGAATGGAGGTTTCTTGTTGTCAAAAACGAGCTGAGAACCAAAATGCAACACACGGGAAACCAGGGATAGTGTCCGGGGACAAACCGGCAGACAGTAGGCAAAGGGCTGGTCGGGGACAAACCGGCAGACAGTAGGCAAAGGGCTGGTCGGGGACAAACCGGCAGACAGTAGGCATAGGGCTGGTCGGGGACAAACCGGCAGACAGTAGGCATAGGGCTGGTCGGGGACAAACCGGCAGACAGTAGGCAAAGGGCTGGTCGGGGACAAACCGGCAGACAGTAGGCAAAGGGCTGGTCGGGGACAAACCGGCAGACAGTAGGCATAGGGCTGGTCGGGGACAAACCGGCAGACAGTAGGCATAGGGCTGGTCGGGGACAAACCGGCAGACAGTAGGCAAAGGGCTGGTCGGGGACAAACCGGCAGACAGTAGGCAAAGGGCTGGTCGGGGACAAACCGGCAGACAGTAGGCAAAGGGCTGGTCGGGGACAAACCGGCAGACAGTAGGCAAAGGGCTGGTCGGGGACAAACCGGCAGACAGTAGGCATAGGGCTGGTCGGGGACAAACCGGCAGACAGTAGGCATAGGGCTGGTCGGGGACAAACCGGC